GAGAAAATAGTATGTACGTGGAAATTAATTAATGTGAAGAAACGGTTGTTAGTCGCCCGTCACTGTTTCTGGTTAACTATATTTCTTGTAACGCATTAGCACTAGACGTCGTTAACGATGGACGAATATAAAGATTCGTTAGAACAATAGACCTATTCTCTTCGTTTTCAAAATTTCAAGCAAAATTTTTGCTGATACTATAGAAATGAACGACTCATAGAAATAAACGATGATAATATTATATTCCGGTGTTTAATGTAGTGGTTCTTTATTGTCGTTAATAATTAGAATTTTTATCTTTTTATAAATTCATGCAAAGAGATTGTGCTAAATATTTTCTCCGACCTGTTGAGCTGCAAAGGATGTCAAGACCTCTCTTGACTGGGAACTTCGAAATTCTCAAATTTTCAAACTTCTAAATTAGCAAACACTTGCGAATTATAAATTTATAAATGAACTTGAAATTTATACTGAACTTCAAATGTGTGAACTTAAAACTAACACTGAATTTCAAATGTATAAACTTGAAATTTATACTGAACTTCAAAAGTATGAACTTCAAGTTTATACAGAAATTGTATGAGCTATTTTATCTGCGAATCAGCAGTATAGACACTGTCGAGATAAATAAAAAATATTAAAAATTACGAATTCAATTACAAAAAATTGACTTCAAGCGACTGTTAAGATTGTTAGTCTTAGGTGTACGTTGCATCCAAACAGTGTAATCCAGCGACATAATGTCGAGTAACCATCTGAACGCGGAGAACAAACTATCGAACGTTCGTTTCAATTAATTTCTCGTACGTTCTTCCGTGCGCAACGATGCGAGATAATCATGTCAATAATCATCGGAACAAGTTATACAGCACGTGTTGCCGTGATCGCGCGTTCGTAGGCGATTAAAACGTCTCGTTGTACGTCGGAAGTCGAGCGAAGACAAAATCAGGGACGTCTAGGCGTTGTCGCTTGGCTAGCCGAGCCCCGATATACAAACCGTGTCGACATAATTATGCTACGCGCCGTCAGGTAGATGAAGCCGATACGAACGTGGGACCATTTAAGCGCCTTTAGAAGCATAAATAATCCTATTAAACGTGTCACTGGTTGTGTCAACAATCTGACAGCCAACAAGATAGAAACCTAGCCGATGGTAGGAACGGTTAGGCGTGTTCTCCGGGACGCATGATCCCGTCGCTCCGAGTCAATGAAGTCACGGGAACGATTTCAACCCCATGGACATTGGCGTAGCTACTAGGGTTGTTTTCGGTCATATCTTATGAGTGATACTTTCAAACTTATAAATACCTATCATATTGGCTAATTTTTTTATTAACTCTAGTTCTTGATAATGAAGTCCTTTTTCCTGTTTGAATATTCAACAATTTATAAATGTCTAATTCTCTAGTTCGCTAAGTTCTAAACTTTACAATTAGAAAATTTGTTAGACAAGTATACATAGAAATTCTTGCATCTCCAAATCCTAAAATTACCAAATTCTCAAATCTTCCAATTTCTCAGTGCCCCAATTTCCCCATTGTCCAATTCCCAAATCTCCCAATTCTCAAATCTTCTAATTCCCAAATTTCCCAATTTCTAAAGCTCGCAATTCCCAAATCTCCCAATTCCCAAATCTCCCAATACCTAAATCTTCCAATTCCCACATCTCCCAATACCTAAATCCTCCAATTTCCAAATCTCCCAATTCCCAAATCTCCCAATACCTAAATCTTCCAATTCCCAAATCGCCGAATACCTAAATCTCCCAAGTCCCAAATCTTCCAATTCCCACATCTCCCAATACCTAAATCTTCCAATTCCCAAATCTCCCAATACCTAAATCTCTCAATTCCCAATTCTCCCAATTTCCAAATCTCCCAAATCCCAAATCTTCCAGTTACCCAACTCCTATCTCCAAATTCCCAACCAAAAAATTCTGCAATTTCTAAATTCCCAAGTTCCCAAATCACCAATTTCCCGCACTTCCTCGGAAACGTTACTTACGCCAATGTGAACGGGAAAAAATTCGTTTAAAGTGCACCGTGTTCAAACATTGTGCAACACGCTGGATATTTGCCCAACGTCTTTTTAAACAGGTCTAGCCAACATAACGAACGTCATTCTATGAAAAGGGTACAAGACATCGAAGTCCTTTAAGAAATGAAGGGTGTGCCAAGATAGTCACGAAGAGGTTTGAAAAGTTAATAAATATTTTTATTTTCGTTTTTCTTATAATACCGGGACTTTGTTACTTTATTTTACCGTGTTATCATTATCTTTACTGTATATTCCGCTATTTCATTTTATCGTGTTAACAATCTCACTATTCTATTATTTTATTAAGATACTACAGTATACTTTAATCACTAAGAGCTTTTACAGTTTCCATCGCTATTTCTATCCCGCAATTTTTACGCTGTACACGGTAGTAGATTTGAACGGGCTTTACGTGCATTACGCGTTGAATATCAACCATCAATTTCGTTGTACATTAAAAATACACGATTACAGTGAACAGTTATCCCGTAGTTGAACAGCTGTTTATTCATTTAGATGCCTCAAGCTACTTCACCTTTCTCGATGTGTATGTAAATATAAGTACACGAGACGCACGCGGTTCGAGTGTCATCAAGACGTCCGTAAACTTAAAGAGGAAACGTGAGTTTCGCTTCGGAAATCATGCAGCATAAAACACCGTATGGATCGAAAAGAACTGTGGACAAGATCTAGTCGAAACAGGGAACCAGTTTTAAAACGATTTCAAATTATCGCGGGTCAATGTATATCCGTCATTTAGATTAGCAGAATAGTATAATCTAATTTCACCAATTAGAAATTCTATAAAAAACATTTATGTGAAATGTAATATAACATGAAGTCCAACTGGATGTAAGATCATAAAACTCTATCATATGAAAGCTTTTTCCGCTAATATAAATTTATGCTATGAATATTAAGAAGTAGTATAAATGTAAATTTCTTCTCTCATGAAAAACCATTATTTTTCTATTTAATATGAGATATTGTTCAACAAAGAGACTGTAATAAATGTTAATAATTTTAATCTTAAAAATTAGATTCAAATAAATGATTGCTTATGTATCCAATGAGAACTGTTTTCTATATAACATTAAGTGTTAAACACTTCGGGAGTTCTACCTTAATGCTCTTCAAGGTGTTAGATCCCAGGAGTGTATTACAAAACAGAGAATCCTCTTTAGGCTATACACTCTTGAGGATACGTTCAAGAACTAGTTTGCGAGAATTTAGTTAATCGATAAGAAGGTAAACAGATTTAATATATTCTCCTTTTTTGCGCGAAAACCGAGTCCATAAAACTACGATATAAGTGAAGTAACACATTGCATCTTTTTCTCGGAAATTCATCCATTATAAACTTTCTTTAAAATAACATGCGATGTACTGTAATTTGAAACAATTGCAAGCTGATGTAAAATGATTAATTATGATCTTACGTGGAAGATCGAAGGTAACGTATTGTCAGATGTTAGTATGTGATAATTTTGTAATTTTTCACGTCACTATATGTTTTGAAAAGAAACAATTCTTCTGAAAGAATGGATATTTTTTACTGTACGGAATATTGGAAATGAAACCGATAATGCATATCACTGTACATTACTAAAAGTCATCCACAACGCGATGTGTCGTGTGATTGTAAGAACTTATCATTGGGAATGTACCTCTATTATACGACCGTTGTTTATCATTGAACGTGGGAGGCATATTATTCCCCGTTATGTATCGTACAAACACTTATTTTTCTATTTCTCTATTCTATTTTCAAATTATAAAATTTATACTCACTTCTTCATTTTTCAAAATAAATTAAACTACTTTCACCCTTCTTCAAATTTTCGCTGTGATCACAAATTTTTAAACAAAGCATTCTTTGCATACTAAAAATTATACAAAAATTTATTAATTCAATCTTGTAAATGTTTATAAATTTTCAGTTATCATTAAATCTTGAAAATTTGAAAAAGAGTTAAAATTCTCAAAGAAAAAAATGATTGTCATAATCAATGGATACGAAATTTTATATTTAAGTTCAACTCTTCTAAATGTTCTCAAATAAATTGTTTTCCGTTACCAATGATGGCAATCTTGAAAATTTGAAAAAGAGTTAAAACTCTCAGAGAAAGAAATGATCGTCGTAATCTATGGATATAAAATTTTGTATTCAAGTTCAACTGAATTTTACCAGGATCTTCCCTAAGTTTGCCTATGGTTCGAACATAAAGCATGTTCTCCTGTACACGAAGCATAGCGTATTAATATTTATAATACATAATCAACGCACAGTGTTAATTAACCGGTTTGTTCTGACATTTATGATAGAGGCTGTTGCCTCAAAGAACTTAAGAAGAAATAACCACGCCAGAAATACAACCCAGCTTACATTCCTGTGTGACATAGAGCGGGGGAGGACAGACGCAGACAGGAGGTAAAGATCGATAGAGGTTCGACGACTCGACAACTGACTGCTGTCTATATTCTACACCATGTATGTACTTGTTAATGCATATCAACGTAAAACCACTACTATTTTACGTGGATATTTATTCGCATCTGATGTATATTTGCTGCATAATCTCACGAGACGAATTCTTTCGATATTTACTATATGCAAATCTCCAGTACTCAACAATTTTTGCAGTGCAATAATTTGAATTCAGTTTTTGGACTAAACGCTAATTATTAGTTTTTATTTAACAGTAACGTTATTTAATTTTTAATATTACTTAAAGAATCGACACGAAAAGTAGCTTGTTTTATTGGGTTATAATCGTAACGAAACGAGAATAAATATGGCGGAAAATGGCGCGAAAAGGCGCGAAATATGGCACCGTATATAGCGAATATTTTATCGCGAAAATACGTGCGACATCCTCACGAATATAATCTACATATCTTTATACATTGACAGTTTCTGTGATTTCTTGCATTCTGATAGATGTAATAAACGTATAACTCACCAAGGTTTCTGTCGGGATGATCGCAGGAACCGCGTTCCTGTCAGACAACTTAATCCGTATAATGACGTTGCTGGCATCGGTTATCACAGAGTTTCCGTGTGAACGAGGGAATACTTCAGACTGTCATCGTAGCAGCTGACTTGCAAAACGCAATCGTTGAAACCACACGACAAAACGAAAAATCACTTTTGACAAAAGTTCGTTGCAAACAGAGTCACTTCGCGTACTGACAGTTCACTCGATGCAGTCGAACGATACATCACAGGTACAAACGATTGTCAAAACGTGTTCATACAAGAAAATTATTCACATTCTTCGATACCCGTTGTCGTGCGAGTCGAAATTCTTCTTCAACAGAAACTATTAATCACTATAATCACTATTTCCGAACAAAACGTGCTGCGTTCCCAGTTTCGTACGTTCGCGCATCGCGCGGCCATCGTCTACTGAAGTCTAGCGACACCTGACACGAAGCGATATCGATGTATCGATATTTCTTTCAAAAACTCACTACGACTCCATCTTGCGATTAATCGATCTGACAATTGCGTTGCATCTTCACAAGTGGTACGGTACACTGTCAATTTCATTTGACTAAACGACGGTTTTTAAGATTAATCGATTACCTTGGGAAAAGTATACTTCGATAAGATCTCCAACAGGTTAGTTCGATGAATCATGTCTTCGCTACTTTATTTCTTTTATTCTGTATCGTTAATGATTGGCAAATGTCAGTGATGTTTGTGAAATCATATGTCAATATTATGACGAACGATGTTTCCAAAAAACGATGCGTTATGTTCGAACAACGGCTGTCACTTTCAAATCATACGCATTCACCACGCGTATCGCTCTTCCGTATCGATGAACACTGATCTGAACGTAGCTCGAAAACGTTCGACGACGGAAATGATTTGATCGAGGTGTTTTTCAGCTGATCGGACAAGGCAATGAGGAAAAGTATTCGAATTCAGCGTCGTCGGACGTTCCAGCGTTGAGTTTCGTTTCTGGACGGTTCGGTATAAAACGTATGACGTAAATCGTGGCAAGGTCTCGATGGTCGCGTGCGATGGTATCCAAAGAAACTACAATAGGTTATTTTCTTCTCGCTAACGGCACACTGTGAACCGTGCAGGTAACGCGTCGTCTTATCTTCCCCCGATCATGCTCGATCGCGGTGTCCGTCATCGATGGTGCAAACTTCAACGCATCGTTTCCGTTGGAGAAATCGAGATTAGCATCGTGTCGCGGTGAATACGATCGATCGTCGAAAAGTGTCCGGATGAGTCCGCGTGGCGACGTTTGCTCACGAAAGTGTCCGTTTGCTCGTGACCGTGTCGCGACGCGAAAAACGAGCGAGCTGCGCAGAGACAACGCACTGAACGACGAATGGACGGAGCCGCTGTTGGCTGACTGCCGACGGTCGAACGCGCTCCGAGTCTCAACGATCAGCTGATCGGCACGCGCGCTACTATGGTAACCAACGTCAGCGGGCTCCGGTAGGGTTGCACGCGCACACACACACACGCACACACGTACACATAGACATATATATACACACACAAGTTTTGGAGGGCGTCCCGTGCGACAGCCTCGCGACTCCGATAACGTGTACGTGCGTCGTGCGTGCGCACACACGTGGTTAGAAGATTTGCGCGCGCACGCGTGTGTGCGTGCGTGAAAACGACACGTAGTGTCCGTAGATGACAAACACGACGTCCACGACGACGGAGAGAGGCAAAGGTCGATTGAAAAAATAAGGAAACTTCCTTTCGCCTTCTCCGTTTCGTTATTTCCCTTTTCTGTTCTCGCTCGTTATTTTTCTGTTTAATTGCAGTTGACAACGCGACACGCAACCGTCACTGCGAAATTGAAGATTATGAGCCGCGTGCAACGTCGCAAGGTAATTCGAAATACTGCGAGAGACTCGTCACGAAGTCGACGACGGTGACCGTAGCTGACAGGAAGGAAAATCACGAGGTAATCGTGGCGCGAGCGGCAACGTACGCCATCCACTCGTGTCGGCAGTCGGGCGTGCACTGCCTTCCTGAGTTGCCGGTTGGTTCTCGATCCTCGACTCTGTTCGCTCGACTCGCTCGCTTGTTCGCGGCCTCCATCCCCGTATCGCACTACGGCCGCGATGCTCGATGCTACACTCCGCTACAACGTAAGCTTACTTTGGATAAGGATAATTGTAGGGGGAGAATCCTCACGCTACTTGTTCTCGATTATCGGAATAGTAATACGCAAACTTTCAAATTTACAACTTTCGAAATTTATACATTTGTGAATTATCACATTCTTCTTGTCAAATCCCTAAATCTCTATATTCTCAAATCTCAGTGTTCACAAATTTTTAAACTATCCAATTTTAGAAACCACAAAGTTGTGAAATCTCTGGATCACCAAATCCATAAATTCCCAAATCTTCAAAAAATCTAGAATTACCACCAGTGTACACTGTTACACAATTTACCCCTGTCTTTCCCACATCTATTTTTTTACACTTAAGACATATCTTTATGATTATTAATCATGTCAAGCAGTGCAACAAATCTTAACATTTGAAATGTTTTACAAGGCTGAATTTTTCTGTAAATTATTATGCATATGAAATTGTGCATACTGATTATGAATATGAAAATCCATTTTCTTCATCCTGTTCTCTTTTATAAAAGAAGTCAAATTTTCTATTTCTTAAATTTCTTGTGCTTTCAGCAAAAGAGTTCTTCTTCAGAAAATGATTCTATAAAGTTTTACAAATGTATAGTGTTGAGAATATTCAAATATATCTGAACAATATTTAAAAGAACAGAGTAATTTTTGAAGTACCAATTTTGTACCAATTAATAGTCTCTTGAATCTTGCAGAAATATTTTTACTTTCTTAATAAAAGATAAAATTTATTTTGTAACTTCCTATGATAATTTTCACAAAAAGATAATCTACTCTTATCACATGGTATAATTGACGTTTAATAAGCGCTTAGCTTGTTTTAAACATTGGCTGAACATGTTTAAACATTTATGATACTATAAGATACATGTATTTGTAAAAGTTTGCACAATCACTTTTTATAAGTGTAATTTTCATCATGTTTATAGTTAAAACAAATTCTTAAAATTGTAAATTCGACTTCTTTTGGACTCTTGAGTTTTTCAAAATCGGAGGATGTGGTTTTCAAATTCGTAATCAGTATATGAAAATTTACAAAATCGCTTACTGATTGTTGTGAAACAAAATTGCACGGTGTTATTATTTGATCCAGATCTGTACAATTTGTGGTAACATTAATGATGGATCGATTGATTCTATTGCAGAGTTAAAATTTCTTGTCATTAAAAAATGTGATACACATATGTTACACATCCTCATACTTCGAATTGAAAAGAATATATAATTTGTATTGTTTGTCGTTTTTATTTTTTTTATACCAAAAAATGACGGCCAAGACAAAAATTGGCATTTTGTAAACTTGAACAACTAACGTATTGATATCTTCTACCATGTACATATACAATGCAATTTAGATTTCATATTTTTTTTATAGAAATAATTTCTATGTAGTCGAGTAATAGATAATGAAGTCTTTTAATTAATGTAAGGCGCATGAACTAAATTTTTCATAATATTCGTCGTAAATCTATACAAATTTCATGAGACATTTCGATGCATTTACAATTTCTTGGCAAATAAATGATTTAACAATATTTAAATGGCATTCTTGATTGTCATGTAATCTGTTACGTCAAAACGAATACGATTTTCGTTCAGTAATAAATATCTGAATTTCATGACGTTCATAAAAGTTAAATAACTCTGTATCGTTTCATTCGTAATGAAAGTAGTGCCAAGAACTGTACGCATATTTGATGTTGAAAATATTGAGTCAAAAGTATAATATATTTTACAAATAATTTGTTATTTTGTTATTCTTCTATTTCGATTGGTTTTAGTTATAGAAATATGTAATTATAATTGTAACAACGAAATATATTTTAAAATATTTGAAACATTGGGAATTATGAAATTCTATGTATTGGAGAATATAGTTAAATAAAAATAACAATGAACTTGTATTCATTTGAAGGAAAAACATACAGACGCGTGGCGACATCTATCAACAGTACAACAAAATAGATTCACCTAATCAATAGCAGATAATTGTAATGCAAATATACACGTGATTGCAAGGAAAAATAATCACCATAATAATTTATTGTTTACAAAATAAAATTGCAAGACTAGTATTGTCAATCGTTAATGTGATAAAGGGCAGAAAGACCAAAGGGTTCTGATCAGAGATACAGTTATCCATAAACCTAACACTATTACTGCTGTTCTAACCGCTTGATGAAGCCAATACAACCTAAAATAAATTTTTACATGAAATAATTATATGAAAAATAATATTATTATAACAGTAATATCTTTATAAAGATGGTAACTTACTTGCGAAACCTGGCTACACTGTCCTCTATAGTGTCAAATGAATCATTCAGCATGTATACACGAAGACCTCTTATATGTAAATAAAAATACTGTTCCCAATCCAAACTTTTCATATCAAAGAAGAAGATCTTTCGATCAACAGCATTCATTTTTTGCCAGAGTTTCACAACATTATCATTTCGGAAAGTCCATTGCCTTGTTGAAAAGTAATGTATTACATTACTAAATTTATTTATTTTTCTATACGCATTCAGTAACCTGTGGGTGTATTCATAATTAGCATTATTGTACACTGTAGTTAATATGTATTACTGATTATAATTTATTGTATGTGGATTATTTCAGATTTATAGCAGACTTACATGGGTTTTCGTCCAAGAAGAGAAGCTATTGTGTCAACAATAATGGCTGGTATTATATGAAGGAACAAATTACAAAGATTATGTAAAAATAAGTGTCTGTTCAGTATTAACATATAGTACCACATGACTTTTACACTAGGTTGGTCAAGACCGTAAAGTTCATTTTTTTTCATATACTCATACCAAGAAATTGGATTATCACAAGAAGATACACAATTATAAATAGGAACTTTTTCCTCATTAGATATGTTGGGATCTTGAGCTGCTTTTATTTGTCGATTTCTGCAAAAATATTATTATTATTATAGAGGTTTACATATATTGACATTGAAAATCAATTATTTGCTAACACAAATTTGTCTTATCAGCTAGTTTAGATTTATGCTTGTTCGGTTTATTTGTTTTTAGTAATAAACATTGATAAAGCAAATAGTAACAATTATTAAATATATATAAATGCAACTTACATAGAGTTAATCTCAAACAAAAGAAATAAGAATTTAAAAAATTTCAGTCTTCAAATCATTCAGTTTAAGTATAAGAACCATAGTACAATTGCCAATAGTATAGAACTTTCTTACCTATTAGCAACATCCCAAGCTGAACTGATAATGGTAGAAACAACAAAATCTGCTGGTATAATATCTGCTACATTTTCCGGTATACAATGCAATGTACGCAGTAGACCTATTCCACTTCCCATAACTACACCAGTTGCTCCATATAGATTGTTTATCCATCCAACAATTGGATCCTTATAGGTTGGTATAACAATAGAAGGTCGTATAATACAAACTGGAAGATCATTGCTATACTTTAATACAATATTTTCTGCTACTGCTTTAGTGAACACATACGTATTAGGCCATCTGTCAAGCAATCTATGAAAGGAAAGAATATATATTTTCTTATGATTTATCAAAGTCAGCAAATTTATTGGAATAACATTTACACAGGAGCCATGTGCGCAATTTTATCGTCATCCAATATATTCAACAATGTTAATAATTTATCAGCTTCAATGGTATCCTGATAATGCTTCTCCTCAATAGTATCATGTATACAATGTGCAAATGCAGTTGATACATGTACAAATGCCTAAAAACAGATGCAATAACATTTATTTAGATTTTTAATTGAATATTATAATAAATATAGTTATCTATTGTATTTCTTCTTAATTCATAACAGTATTAGTAAATAAAAATGCTGTATTTTATATATATATATATACACATATATATATATATTATTGAGTAATATGGAAACGCGAATACCTTTTACGTGATTGAAACGCAGGGTATACAAAAAGAAAACAACATTCTTCTTTACTGCAAAAAATATTCAGGTTACCTTTAAATTGGGTAATTGTTTTGCAAACGTCAATAAGAATTTTATAGTTTTTATATTGACACTAGTTATTACACGAAGTTTCTCTTCAAATCGAACAAGTGCAGCACTATGAATAATAATGTTTGTGTTCATTAAAAGTTGCTTAATTTCTGGTGACCAACCAAGATCATCTTTTAATCCATCGCCCTCCACTAATATTACCTTCTTGAGAAAATTCGGTTGTTCACGCTTTAACTTATAATAAACCTACAAGCGATATAATAATACAGTACATTATGGTTTAATTACACATTTTATTATTATTATTATATAAATGTGTTACTTACAGCATCGTCAAAGTTTTCTTTAAGTCGATCTGATGGACTCTTTCCTTTTTTTGGTCTTACTATCAAATATAATGTCGAAATATTCGGGCATGATCTGTAATTATTAGTTAAGTCCATACACAATGAAACAGAATTGATCATAAGAAATTATAATAGTAAATAATTCTAAAAACATGATTCTATTTTTGAGGGTGCTCAATGCTTTGTATATTGATTAACATTGACTAACAATAAGTTAGCGATCACGTGCATTATTATTCAGTGTCTGATTAACATAGTATTATTTCACTGTGCATCTTTTGTAATTTATAAATTATTTCCTGAATTAGTTATGATGCAATAATAGTAATGAAGTTACTTAAATTATTTTCCCTTTAATCCAATCATGGATTCTCATTGATATCGCATGATCAGCGTAATTGTGTATTAATTCATTTTAATCGTAGATATATGTCGGTAGTAAACACCGGATGCACCTTTGAACCGTTCAATGAACGTAATATGTAGCATTGCAAATTTTTGGAGGATATGACGCATCTGAAATCGGAACTAAAAGCATAGCTACGAAACGTAAGCTAGTTCTCAAAATAAGCCATTATATTCTGTGATAAATTGAAAAATTCCGAGATTTTACGATTACAACTTTTTAAATTCTTTGAAGTCCAAATTTTGAACTTTTTATAATTTTTAAATCTCCACATTTGAATTTTCAAGAAACCGAATGTAATGAAGTGCAACGTGATTGCATATTAGTTTCACAAATCTGAATTACAATTGTCCCAATATCGCCGTTTGAAAATTGATCATTTTAGTAGTGTCAAAGCATTATACGATGAAAACAAGTGTTCATTCATAAAATGTTCAATGTTGTATTAGTTTCATAAATTTGAGTTACAATTGTCCCAATATCGTCGTTCAAAAATTGATCATTTTTGTGATGCTATAATACGATGAGAACAAGTGTTCATTGATATAATGTCCAGTATTCAATGAATGTTTAATTCAAACAAAATGTAATGAATCATTCTAAATAGTATCTGCAAGATTACCTGAGTATCTTCTCGACGATTAATTTGCCCAAAAAACCTGTGCCTCCTGTTATTAAGACATTAGCCTGATCAAAAAATTCGACGATTTCACTTTTCGTATTTGATTCTGGCGGTTCAGACATATCCAATATTTCTTCCACGTATGCATTACTTTTCATCGTCATCTTGATGGTGTATCTCCTTAGTTTAATAACAGCGATAATAATCGATGATCAGCGATAATGTTTAACGAAATGATTATGCAATGTTTAGCCTCTTTTAAAACAAAAAATTGAAAACAGTTCTTAATTAGTACAAGTGTCACTATGGCAGATTCTAGAATTATGCTCATATCTTTAGTTTATCATGTTTTTTATGTAAAAGCGTTAAAAGAAAGAACATTGTTTAAATGTTTATTGAATCCGCGCTCCTTTATTATTTTTTAAAATATCCTTTATTATTATTTAAAATAATAATTATTTTTTAAAAGGAATTCAGATAAGTAAAGAAATGACGAAAGATAAGTAAAGAAAGAAATAATGACATAAAACGTTAAACATAGTTGTCACGACGGTAGCTGTCAAAGTATTAAGAATGTTAAATTAGAAACTACAAAAAACTATGAACGCACAGAAATTTGATAAATTAACAGAAAATAGATTTCAAAAAATGAAATAAAAAATAAATGAAAACGTTTCTGATAATAATAGCAAGTAAAGTTTTAGTCTGATCGCTTACTGAATGTGAGCCGATAGTCGAAGTGCTTTCAACGATGGACAGATTTCAACTGTAAAACATTCCGACCCTGTTGGTACACCTTTAAAGAGAAACACATTTCCTCAAACGCTGAGTACAATAACACTGGCCTTTCCTTTATGCAGATTCCCTACTTAACATTTAATCACATTTTCAAATACAATATATTCATTCATAGTATACAGTTAAATGATTTCAATAATGACTAGAAGAACATAACACCACCATCGAAGAATAGAAAGACAAGAACAACAAAAGAACTTAACGTTATTTAAAATGTAAATATGTAAAGCAGTAATTGTAATATTAATATGAATTATAGCAGACAAATGGACGAATAATAAAGGGATGCATACAATAGTAGAAGCACGAAGAGGATAAGGAATTTTTCAGTTAAATTACTTTAATTTCGAACAACAAAAATTACTCGATATTTTTGTAATATTTGTATGAAATAGATTATTTTTTTTTATCTTTTATTTATGTTGTATGAACAGTTTGAACATTCGTTAATTAGTTCAATGAATACTCTTTTCGTTACTATCTATTGACTTGTATATTTTTATTATATACTGTACGAACTTATTAAAAAGGTAATTAAGTCAGTACCGAAAATAAAAAAATTACCCAATCCTCGAACACTTCAAGTAATAAGAAATATTGCAGACTTATTTATTTTGTAACGTAAAGAAAAATATTCATTATTATGATGTTACGTATGAAGACGAATTTTAATTAAAAAATTTTAATGCAAGTGCAACACGAAAACAATGATATTGAATATTACATTTCAAGGTGATTTTGGTATTTTCCCCAATCCTGATAAAATCATTGACGTGATATAATACATATAATTAACATTTTCAATAAAATTCTGAATTATTAAAAACGTACAATAGTGCCATAAATACATTTTATTCTCTCAATTTATTTGTACTACTACATGCTTCGTAAAGTGGATACAATATGTACAATACATCATGGAATGATATACACGTATGTATATATATATGTATATATGTATATATATGCATATATATATAAATATTATAAACTATACATATAGAATGAACTAGGCATAAACTACATAAGAACAGAATTCTCAACGCACATTTAACTTACTGCTTGCAACTAAATTATGCAAACTGGTACTGTAAGTCTATGGTAATAAATGAAACAGTATTAATTACTATCTTATTTGTTTTATTGTTCGTTGTTCTTGGCATTCCATAAAAATCTTTTTGCGGTGGTTTCACTATATTTAGGATTTCCGTTCAAGAAAAATATCGTGGAAAAATACTGCAAAACATTTTTGGTGAGATATCTTATAAATCAGAATGTAGTTCTTCAATTTTAATCTTCACATAAAGAATAAATAACAAGAAACATATACGCACTTTTTTACACCGCTAAATTTTGTATCGTTCATCTTTGCACAGTGCTCGTACTACATATTTAACGCACAGCGTTATACTTTTTTATAATTTATACATAATTAACATTGTGCACTTGCATTTGAATGACTTCTTCAATCATGGACGCAACTAGGACCTAGGATGAGTGGCCCCTTAAAATGTGGATTGTACATTCTAACCCTACCCCTCCCTTATCTGGAAATTATTAAAATAAATACAGTACTAAACACGATACATTCCTATAATTAGAGGGGTGGAAATTTGGAAATTTCAAAGTTTAAGAATTTGGGAATTTACAGACTTTAAGATTTGGAAATTTGAGGATTGCCGAATTTGAAAATTTAGAAATTTAGGTTTTTGAGGATTTGAAGATTTTCACATTCCGAAATTTGGAATTTTTATAGCCATTAATTTGTACGAATAAACGAACCTCGTTCTCTATACAAGACTATAGTAGATAATTCCCTATACTTTCTTCTCTTACTTCACTATTTTCTCTAGCAGAGTCTATTGTTTTTGGTTCTGTACGCGAGCCCATTCTAGACAGAAATCCTAGTTACGCCAAAAAGTATACAATTCGTGAAATCGATATACATATATTCAATTCTTCATACATCATAATTTAAAACCATTTAAGAAATTTAAAAATTGGGAAACAAATATAAACATAAATACAAACGTACGTAACTTACTAAAAACGATTAATCGTCTTGCAAAATACTCAAAGGATCATCACCGATCTTTTCAGCTGTTTTCTTTAGATCTTTTGTAACCGATTTTTTAATAGTTGAACGCGTTTCTGTAGGCTTTACGCGAGTTTCAGTCGTGAGTTTTTTTCCAAAAATATTACTATCGTCGTCGTCGTCATCGTCGGAAGGAAATAACGATTTCGATGACACGATCTTCTTCGGTACAGTTTTACTCGCGAAGATGTCATCCTCTCCGCTTGACTGATCAGCAAAAATATCTGCAATGTGTGAAGTTCTCACGGGCTCGGCGATACTCGAGAAGATTTCATTTCTGTTCGATTGTTCTTGGACACTTCCGGAATCTGACTTTTGCGTCTGCTCCGATGACTCGGAGAATAAATCGGCATCGTTGTCATCGTCATCGAACAGACTTATTTTCTTCCCAGATTGTGGTACAGATTGTTTTTTCACGGGTTCACTTTTAACCGTCGATTTCTTTACAACCGGCCCAAACAAACTATCGTCTTCATCATTTTGTTCGTCATCATCGAACAAACTAATTTTTGTATCTTTCAAAGGCTTTTTTACAGATTTGGTTAAAGATGTCGAAAACAAGTCACCTCCCACGTCATCGGAAAATAAATCCAGGACTGGTTTTTTCATGGTTTGTTCTTCGGTTGACCTTTTACCACCACTAGAAAACAGGCTGTCATCCTCAGAAAACAATAGATTTTTGCCCTTTTCTGGAGACGGGGTTTTCGTAACGAAAGCGAACAATTGGCTGGGGTCTTTCAACGGATCATGGCTACTATCTCGTAATGGATCGACCACCTCTTTCGCTTCTTCTTTTGCTTCGGCGTTATCTGCTTTGATTTCTTCCTTATTCGCGAGCGAAACTGCAGCTTTTGTGCTCGAATCATGACTAGGCTTAGCCAATACATTGTCCTTATCCATCTTTTGCGTATTCTTTTCCGTTTCCATATCCGTGTCATCGATCTGTTTAATGTGCGTGTCTTTCAATGGTTTAAAACTAGTTGGTACTCTGTCAGAAACGACTTGTTCGACCGGTGAAAGAATAGGGGCTCTACCGAACAGGGTATCCTCTTTTTGAGGATCTTCGGGCAAATCTGGTGGTACATCGAACAGATCTTCTTCGTCGGTTGACGGTGATAATAAAGTATTTTTGTTTGCACTCATTGAACTCTCCTTACTTAAACTACCAAGTTCAGATTTATCATCCGCAGTTAAGAAAATATTACTGTCAGCTGTTCGATGAAGATTATCAGAAACTAAACGATCAGAATTTGTGGCAGTATGTGAACCCGGGTCTTTGAAAGTATTCTGAGGCGGGTTGCCAAGACTTTCATGTTGCGAGCTGCTTTTCGAAGCATCTACAGTATCGAAATCGATTCCGCTTTGTATAAGGGCTGACTTACGCGCGTGCCTGCTTTGAGGTCGACGTTTTGCCTGTATTCTGACTCGTGTCTGAAAAATAAAATAATAATCATTAACAGCGTATAATAGTGAACATAAAGACTTAAAAACGTAATTTATGACGAAATTAGCATGATTTCAAGTATCAATATTCTAATTAAGTTCGTATGTAATTTAGCATGAGCTAAATATTTATGAACTGCTTACAATGAATGATCATTTGGGTAATAAAGTTTGCGAAAAATGTAGTCCAACAATTACCTTGGAGGCAGTAGTAGATAACGTTTCTACTTGAGCAGGTTCATCAAAACTAATAGCACTTTCTACATTACTTTCTCCTGAAATCGTTGATTGTAAAGATTGTTTCTGGGTGATACTATCTTCTGCAACAGAAAAAATAAAATATTTATTTTCAGTTACCAAACAATAATACTATTAGAATTTGAAACGGTCAATTAGTGTAAATGATATACATTACCAGATACGCTTAAAGATGAACTGTGACCTTGTATACTAATGCATCCGCCGTCATCGCTGTCTCTATCCGCCGTACTATCTTCCTCGTCCGTTTTTTCTTCGCTTCTTCGCCATAGAGGTGGTGTGTCCATAGGTGAAAGTATCTTCAAATCACCCATCTTTCCCATCAAATTTTTTATTTTACCAGACACCACTCGTTTCGTTCCCTGACTATTTTCGTCGGACGAAGATGACGAGGTGACTGCTTGAATGTCCAACGATTTTGGAGGACTTTTCTTCGGCTCGCTTTCGACATCTTCCGTGACACTGCGTTCGTCAGAAGAGCCTCTCTGTACATCTTCTGTTTTACTCGTTGTGCCAAAAATATTCGGTTCTTCAGCCTTTGCAAAGATATTAATTTCATCCTTAGATAAACTGTCTTTAACCTTCGTATCATCCATTGCTTGTAATTTTGATCGTACACTCTCTTCTTTTTTTTCTTCCTTAGTTACTCTTGTAGTACTCTTTGTACTAAACAAATCGTCGTAATCGTCATCCTCGAAGACCAATCCGTGCGTTCCAATAGTGGTGGAGAACAAATTATTATCCGAAAGAACATCCTTACTCACTCTTTCACTCTGGCGAGTGGGCACATTTTGATCAACGGTATCTGTACCTGACGTAACAGTTTTGATAGAAGACTTATCGTTTGTCTCTTTTCCGTCGGATGTTTTTTTAGTAGAGAACAAATCATTTTCCTCCATTTGATCACCGTTGTCGTTAAAAATACGAGATTCGGTTTTAGGCTCGTTTTTAACAGGCTTCGTAGCGAACAGATCACCATCATCGATATCTTCCTCGTCATCGAACAGACTGATCTTCTTCGGTGCACGAGTGGTCTGATTTTTTTCCATCGTTTTACTTTTTCCTATCGTGTCGCTAGTGTTGCTCGTAAAGAAGCCATCGTTTGATATGTCCGGTATTTTCCAACTGGGAATATTGTTTTCTTCTTTGGCTGGTGGTTTCGTGGCTATGCCGAAGATGTCAATGTCTGGCGAATCTTTGTTGCTGAATATGTCTATATCTTCGTCGAAAAGACCTCTTCGCTGCATACTCTTCGTTTTGTCGGAGTGCTGAGCACCCGTTGTGAAGAAATCGTTGCTTTTCTGAGATCTAGAACCTGAACTCGTCGTCGAGAACAGTTCATCACCGGAATCAGAATCGTCGAACAACGAGGACACCTTCGACTTTCCTAACTTCGAGTCCGCTTTCGGTAACGGAGGTGGTCCGAACAAATCCTCGTTCTCGAACACGTCGTCTTGTTCCGTCGATGGTACGTCCTCGCTTAATTCTCCGTGCGAGGAATTGTTCATCGAATTCGGGGCAACGCTCGCTCGATTAGGTGTTCGCGCTGTGAACAGACTGTCGCTTGCAACTCTTTCAGAATACATCTCCTCCGATTTTAAACGGGTCGACGTCATCAATGGTGAAAGTGCACTGAAACAAGAGAGAAAAATAGTTTTGAATGTAAACTTTTTACATTCGAAGCTATTTTTGCAGTAGACAATATAAATACTTCTTGCTAACGAGTTAATAAAATTTATTGAAATTTTTTTCTTACTACTGTTACCTGTTTCACTGTGCGACAATCATTTTATTCGTAACATAGAATTAATTTCCAACTATTTCTGCACATGTTAGTGATTTTAGAACGGAATTACTTTTAAGAGTTTATAACCTAACTGAACTCTTGAAGTGATTCATAAAATCGAAAGGAAAAGATAGATAAGATCAGTTAAGCAGTCTAGTATTGCGAGAGTCTGCTAGATAAAAGAGCACTATAGAATGCACTTTTAAAATGCAAGTTTTCCCGCTTACCATCAGATAGCGCCAGAGATGTTTTCAAACTGCGCATTAACACGGAAGTAGAAGAAGAATTAAAAATACAGAAGTAAAAAAAGAAATTACGAAACATTTAAAGAAAACATATTAATAACAAAAGTAAACGATCAAACACTTTAAAAAAATATAAAAAATGTCCTTAATGCGAAATCTTGTAAATGAAAAAATTTCTTAATGTAGAAAAGAATTACAACATGTAGAGTCAATTTTTGTTTTACATTTCCTTATTGCACATTGTGACAGTAGATAGAATTCCTGAAATCATAAAGGTTGAGTAAAGGTCACGGCAGATAAGAGGGGGGCAATGCATGTATAAAAGAAAAAATCGGATGTCGATGATGTACCAGTATTTGTCGAAAGTTGAACGATTTAAAACAAATTTAAAAATGAAGAGTGTCATATTGTGGTCACTTTTGATGGCGATTTGTTTCCTCTCGGAGGTGAAAGGTATGTCTAAATTATTTTTTAAAAGATAAAATATATCGGATGGCGATCATAAAACATAAATATGACTATTGAATATGTGGCAGCTGTAAGATACAATTGATCGCAATGCGTAATTTGCTCGCCGTGAAATGATCATGGAATACTAATTACAGTCGTCCATACGTTAAATATAAATGAAATACTGTTTTATGTATAATTTAAATTTTTTAATTTATCGTGATAGCCTTTTTTTTTGTACAATCTGGTTCATCTGCCTCATTTGCATTTTGCACCATATTTCAAATCTAACGACGCAAAATTTTATACGAAATTAAAAATTAATTATAAAATTATTTTATTTTATTTGATGGTCAATCAAACGCTGAATTAGATAATTTTAATGTATGATCGTGCAGAAACAATTTTCGGCAGAAAGGGCTATAGCGAAAGGATTAATAGATGTAATTTAATATAAAAAAAGCAGAGCATCGAAAAAATTAAATTCTATAAATATGTTTTTGATAAACAGGAGATTGTAAAAACTATGATGGCCAAGATCTCAGTGTCGGGGTACACTACATTAAATGCAATAAAGTGACGTGTCACGAAGACGGATCTGTAAGCGCTACAACGTAAGTCATGACTTTAAATCAACAACGATTAAATAACGCATATTGTATACAAACTATTCGGGAAATGTTATCATACACGACTGAATTTTTGTTGATTTGCGACTTTTGTAAAATAATGTTTTCAAAATAAATGTACAGTGATTAAATTTATGTTCAATATGATTAAATGTTTTAGATGCCCAGTGTATTTTTGTCAGGAAGGAAAACAAATTGGATATCGTGAAAGAGACATAAGCAAACCTTACCCAGAGTGCTGTGAAGGACCTATTTGCGCAACTTAAAATGAATATTTACGAATGATAAAATATGATCTTTAGTAACAAAAATATTATGTATGAAATAATAAAACTAAATAAATATAATGCATAAATCGTGAAAATATGTTGTACTTACTTCGCGTGATGCAATTAGAAACAAATATAGATAAAAATTATCTTGTTGAAACATATACGTTTAAGAGATACTGTTTCGGAATGGAATAATAGTAAACTGAAGGAGATTGCCTTGGAACTTGTGCCTTCTAAACGATACGGTCACTATAATGCAATGAAGGATGACTAATGTTTGGATCATCAATTCAACGACATTTTCAGCGCTTGGCACGCACGTCCATTCTTTTACAATGTAGTTTATATTGCCCTTGCCGGGATTGTAGAAGTAGAAGAAGATACAGAATGGATAACGCGTGATTGCCAAACCTTTACCGACCGCAGTATAACTAGTGAACTCTATATTTCTTAATTTGAAACTTTGAGAACTTTTTAATTTTTCAATTTGTAAATTAAAATGACTGACAATTTCTAAATCTAAAAATCTGTATATTCGAAAAGTTATAGATTTAAAAATTACAAACAAAGTCATATAGTTTGTAAAATTACGAGGGTCTCTATAGATCTTCGTGCTACGACAGTGGATATTTATCTAACAATAAATTAAAGTAGATAATAATAATAGAAATAATAATATTAACTTACCTTATGCTCCAACCTCCTGTGTTATTAATACTCCACGGTTGGATCGATATTCCACTACTATTGTTACTTTCATCCGTGAATATATTTTCGGCATTATTTCTTGCTATCACGAGAGAATCTCGTTCACTAACATTATCATTTGACACAACATTTCGCGAACGATCATGCATAGGATCGTTATTTGTACTGTTTTCGTATTTCATTGACGTATTACTACCAGTAGATCCGGATGAAGGCGTTCGCGAAATTTTGCTCGATAATTCGTTTTCGATTTCTGAAGTTAAAATGTTTCCACGTATTGAGTCCCCACCTACAGATTTCTGAATCATAAAGTAAATATTAATGTCATAATATTACTAAAACATTTGTATCAATTGTATCATTATTTTCTGTAATCTTACTTGTTTACTTTGCGATTGATTTGTAGATGACTTAAAGAGATCGCCCGCATCTTCATCGTCGCTAAACAGATTAGTGGTATTTACATTAGTTTCAGGTGTACTTGTAGCAACATTGCCAGCAACGGATGGTGCCACAATGTCCAAATATTTTTTTTGTGCATTTTCTGCATTTGCCGGAATATTACTTGGGTGTTTATTTTTAACGACTGTTTTCACTGTATTTTTTGATGAGAAAATATCGGAATCTTCAGAATCAGCATCAGCAAAAAGATCATCAATCGCTGATTTTGGTTTAGTGGCTAGGAATATAGAATTTTGTTAAAAAACTTATGGATATAATTACACGAATTACACAAAATTTAAATAGAATAAAACCTACAGATTGTACTAATTGGAGGTGGTACATCAATGCTGGCAGGTATAATATTATTCTTATAAGATTTAATTGGTTTCTCTTTCCATAAAGTTTCTGACAATTGATCATTTACAAGTTTTTTAGTTTCACTAAATATATTTTTTGGTTCATGACTTGAAACATCTTCATCTTCTTCTGATGCAAATAAGTCCTCTAACATAAACATAATAATGGTTAATTATTAATAAAGCAAAAATTGTTTTATTTCTATAAGTACCTTTATATCGATTTATTGATGCTTCACTTTTCTCATCTATACTAGTCGGTTTTTGAGCTTGTCTAACAGTACCTAACCGTTTAGCCAATTCTTCTGCAAAATTTGGTGCTGATTCATTTGATAATACCTGAGAAAATAATATAAATCTTTTGTAATATTATGATGAGCAATTTGAAATAAATGATATTGTATGAAAAATTACACTAACCTTTGGTACACTATGATTAGGAGTATCTGATTCAGAAATAGAATCTATATTATTTTGACTGATCACATCTATCTTTTCATTAAATATTAGATCATTTCTTTGACTGTAGTTTTCACTCAAAGATGGTAATAATCCCACTAAGTTTGTTTTTGGATCTATATTAATGTCCTTAAATGCTGATGTGTCATCAACCTCACTGTCTGAGTCCTCTTCATCTACTTGTTCTGATTCACTGCTGCTACTACTTTCTAATCCAATTTTACTTGAATTTTTCCACTTTTCAGAACCAATGACATAAGGTAAAGGCCGATCTTGGTATGGATTATTTGGCCCCAACACAACGCTAAAATGAAATTGCCAATAACCAAACAAATTGTTTTTATAATAAATATGCTATAGTAGATTTTATTTAAAGATATTTACCTTAACACTACTTTATTGTCCTCATCTTCTTCTTCTTCGCTATCACTGTCAACAAATTCCATTTCTTTATATTTTTCATACATTATGTTTAGACCTTGTTTTATATTATCACTGACATTAGCTATCAACTCTGCAGCTTCTAAATCCTGGTTCTTACATTCCTATACATAAGTTAATAACAGATTAATAACCAAAATTATTCAAACATTTCATATTATCTTATCTTCATTTACCTGTGCTGAGGTTTCTACTTTCTTCTCAATCTCTACATCATCTTCTTGTACACGGCTTTCAATAAATTGAGTATTGGCCAAAGCCAATGATGTATTGGTAATATTATCTATAAATATTGTTGTTTCATGTAATTGAGTTGTCAATGAATCTAAACTTTCCTCAACTTTGTTAGCTAGTGATACTATATTCTATAAGAAGATATTATAAATAAATACAAATCTTATCAATGTACATACATAGACTTTTAATATATTTGTTACAAAAGAAAACTACATCATAAATTTAAATCATACTTCAGAAAATTGCTGAAGGTGTTTAAGAAGTCCTGCATCACCTGCTAAACTCCAATCTCTTCTGTTATTTCGCATTTCCTCTGTAGTCCATGGATGATCCCATGATTTGTCCATTTCATCTGATATGTCCTAATCGCATAAACATTTCCCGGTTTTATTTTTAAAAAGTATTAAAAAGTTGTGTTTTATTAATTTTAGCATAATGGTTGGAATTCTGTACAGTAAATACGAAACGTTGGTTTTGAATTTTTTATGACAACCCATTGTTGCCATTTGCAATTTATGCAAATTATTTATAATTATCGGATAAGTATGGAAAAAGTTCGTCAAGATTTTCTTATTTTGATTTGACATTTTTCATTATATCTCATTATATATTTTATAAACATAATGAAAGTGAAATATTATTCTATAATAATAAATTTTTACGCGGAGAAAGTATCATTAATTTCTATTATTGTTTATATTCGTTAACCTTCAAATTATTTTTACAATAATTATAAGAAACAGTAAACAATCGAAAAACATACCATATCGCTCAGTCCAATTTGATATAACAAACTTATTTTTCTTTGTAATTACATTTACATATGTTTTATTTTTTTTAATCAACTTAGTATAAGAAAAAAAACACCCACAAAGCACTTGGTACTACCACCTACAGTGTCCAGCACTGTCACATCTATTTGAGTGTATTGCTGAGTAAAATAGACTGTGATTGCACCCCTATGTGGTGTTGATTGCCACAACTTTATCGCCATCTAGTTTGAAAGTAAATATCTCAAAAATTCGGTGGGAGTTTTCGATCAACAAGGCGAAATCGGATAGCTTGGTGGGCCTGTTTCGATCCCCCCTCATACTTTCTTTCAAAGATATGTGTATAAATGATAACATCAGATCTTTATTTTATAATTTTATTCTTCAATCTTATGTGAGTATACAGAAAAAAAGGAAAACACATCGAACAATGTTATGTTAAAATAATAAAAAGTTTTTATATAATCTATTTTTCACTCAAAGAGAGATCATATTCATCATACGACCAGTTTTTATTTGTTCTGTGCATTTTAGCTCTAACTTGTTAAAGTACGCTTTGTAGCGCACTTGCGCGTTTGTAACATCGAGTGTATATACTTAGTGATCTTTTACTTTGTTCATTTCATATATTATTAATTCTTCTCCTTATTCATATATTTGTATACACCTTGTATATGACTGACGAATTAAAGGCATAGGTAGAGAGACAACTCTAAGTGGGAGCGAACGTACTGAAGTCGGTCGGGTTGCGCAAAAGAGGTATGATCTCTCGTTGAATGAAAAATAAATTACTTTTTCAATAAACTTCTCATGTAAAAGTTCTGTAAAAATAAAAGTTTAGAATAGTTTATCTTGTTTATTACTACCTTATATGTTTATATGAGTACATTGTGTTACTATGTATTAGTTTTCATTCTTGCTCAAATAAATAAAAAAGGGTCTTTCAATAGTAATATACAGCACTGTTGTGTGCAATGTTGCCAAACGGAGTAGTATTTTGGTCCGTATTCAACATTCCGCTGTTCGACCGATAGAGGAACAGCGCTGTAGATAGATTGTTTGTCAATATCTTTGAGTTGGTTGATTTTTATTGGTTTTTTATGTGTAATGCAATCATTTTACAATGAGACAAAAGATTAAAAAAGTATCCTGACCGTAAACGCGTCAGAGTGTTCGGTGCATGTGTATAGGATATACTGACAATACTGTCAAAGAGAACGTTGTATAGGTGCAATAATGATACTTTTATATGCAAGTGAGGAATTCCATCTGTTTCATTAAAGAAAATAATATTTGGAATGCCTGCTTCATAAGCAGAATTTAAACTTTGTTAAATCAATTACTTCGAACCATACACTATCATGGATGTTTAATATAAATATCATTTTTTTTAAATAACAAACTAAAAATTTGTGATACAACAGAAAAAAAACAGATAACCCTCAATGCAAGAAAAGTTCCAACATTGGTACTTTTAGTTGGTATGTTTATGAAATAAATAATATATTACAATAAGAAACAAAAAATCAAGTTAATTAAATATTTATGTGAACAATTGATTTAATTACTGAAAATAATATATGTATGTTATGTATACGTAGGCACAATTATCTGTCAAGTAACACATAAGGGTATATAAAAGGAATTGCAAATTATATATTTATTACTATTTGTTGCTGTACTATAATAATTGATATTTTATTTGTTTTAGATATACCATAAAAAATGTATACCAGAATGACACAACAAAGAGATACAGATGGTTTGTATTGTAAAGATGAATACATTCGACAATTGTGTATCCTGTTTAGTTGATGCACAAAATATTGTCTTAGACAATTACAGATTATTTTTATTGAATATCTTTGTTCTTGCTCTTTTGGAGCATTCTCATTGTCATAAAGTAATCAGTGTTCATAAAATCACTTTTAATGAGGCTGAAAGCAAATATAGGAAGGCAAACTCTCTTTTGAGAAGGTACAGTGTTTTAAAACTGACTTTCATGAACAATGAACCATTCGGGAAGTGGAAAACGTCAGGCGAAGGTTTTGGAAGAAAACTATTGGGACTGTAGTGTCTGCACGTATAGAAATACCGCAGAAGCATTTAAGTGCCTCATGTGTGACGTCCGAAAAGGAACTTCTACGCGGAAACCCCGCATTAATCCCCAACTTGTGGCACAACAGGTTATAATATTATATTATTTTGAAATGATATGTTGTTTATTTGCCATAAATGTAATAAACTATATTAAAGCTATGAAGTCAATTAAGGAATATAATTGTATTAACAGCAATTTATGTCTAGGTTGCACAGCAACAGTATGTACCACTTTTGAAACCGGGAAAGAAGGAGGGTGGAAGTGGAGGTAGTACAACGAGTAGTGGTAAAGAAAAAGACCGTAAATTGGATAAACCACGGCGTAAAAATAGGCATCCACCTCGTCTAAAAAATATAGATCGTAGTACGGCTCAAACCAATGAAGTGACAGTAAATAATGTTACTGTTGTTATTACAGAATATAAGCCCAAAGTAAAAAAAAGTTCAGATCAGTCTGGTTTATCTAGCAGTGCTTCTTCCGAAAATGGAAGCCAGCACGATTCTAATCAAGATTCTAGAAGTCTGGATATAGGAACGGATGCTTAGCTCAATGCTATATCACATATGTGTATGAATTAATCTAATTAATATATTACATAATGTATGTCAATCTCCATGGACTATGGTCCATTTTATAGACAAAAACAACCATTTTGTCTATGTGTTACAGGTTATATAACATTCAATGAGGTCAGATGTTTTATGCTATTGGTGGAATCATTGACTTATGTCTTCAATACAGTATAAGAAATATGTCATGTATCATTGTTTCATATCAACATCAAAATTGTCTGATTCATTATAATAATCTATTTCACATATAAAATATCAATAGAAGTTAGTTGTACTTAATGTTATTTATTTTATAGTTTGACAGTATTCTAAATTAATCTTTAATATTTGATTAAATATTTTAGATAATTTTTGTAGTGCAACTTCAGATATTATTTTATTTATTTATTGATTGTAAGCATTAACATGGCAAATGTAATTTGATAATCTATTGTTGACATAACAATGCCCACATGACTTTCATTGAATCTATAACACCACTGCCAGAAAGCATGTTGTAAGATTGTTAATTAGAATATTTTAGTGAACTCATTTATGTACAATATAAAATATTTAACTTGTTTATTTAATAATTACTATAGTGGAGAAATACGAAACTGGCATTGGTACGTACATACCTTTATCCCATTCCAAATTATTTATAAATTCGATCTGTTCTAAGCTTTATATTTTCATAGCAAATTAATTTTGCTAATGCTAAAAATTTAAGAAATTTTTAATTTATACATAGATATATATATATAAAAGGTTATGTAATTAAAACACATAACATAGTGCGTAATATAAAAACAAATAAGTGACATACAGTTTCACATATTTTAAGTAGATTTGAATTTATATCAAAAAGTCTTTGCTAACTTTGATTGCTCATTATGTTGAAACACAGGTGTAATTTTTACGTACTTCTTTATTGCCCATACTTTAATAATAATAGAATATATTTATAGATTCAATATACTGTTAATTGAAAGCGGTATTTGACCAATCTATTAAATATTAATTTTCTTAAGTAGTAAAATTAAAAAAAAGTGAAATACTGCTTTGAAATATATTTTCTTTGTTATTGTATTACAATAGAGCGAAAATGCTGTTACAGCTAAGCTCACATTAGTAACTGCCTGATCACTTGTAACTGTGATTTATATTTCTTTTATTGTATTTATTTTTACATATTTTACGTTACCAGGTAATATATAGCATTACCGAATTGAATCACACAAAATTCGTTGTGAATGTAAGGACCATAAATAACAGAATTATTTTGTAACTGCATGAAAATATAAAATGTTATATAACCGATTCTTTTTAAATTCGTGTAAAATATTTGTATGCTAGTTAGATCAAAACATAAAAAGTAACTTGTCGTTGCAATTACTATTGTTTATCATAAACATGAAAGTAAATAATACTTTTACAGACATTTATACATACAACTATTGCATTATATAGGTAATAAAGAATTATGTAATCATGCAATGTTAAAGAGAATTTATAATAATGATACCTGAAAATCTCATAGTTGTCATTGGTAAATTGTTTTTCATCAATGTCATCAATTTTATAAATTTTATAACACAAATATCAAATTTACATTGAATAGAAAATAATTCCATCTTTTTGCGTTCATCACCATTAAATTGGCAAAACTTTATTTTTGTTTTCGTACTATATTTTACTTTTGCAGAAAATAGAAAAATTGAGTAAAGTATGCTTTAAACGATCTTATATTATTCACGACTTATATGATACATATTATATTGCATAATATGTAATTCGAAAATTTGAACTTTTATTCTAACAAACATTTTAATAATCATTGATTCAAAATATAATTGTTATATAATTTAACAATTTTTTCTATTTTTATGATATTGAATATATTAATAAAAAATTTTTACCAACTGTCTTCAATGTGTAAAAATGTGTTAAAATTAAATTAAATTTGTGTGTGTGTTGTAAATGATTAAAACAAAATTGCTATGTTGTACAGATTGTAAGACTTTCGAAAACTATTGTTGAAATTAACATTATATTATTACAAGGAAAAATAAACTACATGTTTTAAGAAGAAACTGTGAAATTGTAATTCAATCGTCCAAATATTTTTTTTCTAGTGTTTTATTTATATCACAATAATGTACAAGTAATAAAATACGAGTACCATACCTTTACTTTGCAGTCTTTATCGAATTCATCATCAAGACTTCACTGTTTTATTTATTGTATTTCTTATGTTCAGATCCGTGCGCGTTAAGAATCATTGAATCCATATATTCAGTTACATCAACCATTTCTCCCGTGTCATTTTGTCGATTTATCGCAGTACTGTTATTTCCGTTTTGTACATTTATTCTAGTTTGAAATCTTTCGCGTACTGTATGAAAAAGAAGTTACACATTGTGTTTTCATTGATACTATATAATTATAAAAAAATGCACAATTAAGTATAAATATACCTTCCGAAATATCCAAGAAGTCAAATACTTTAAAATTGCATGACTTGTTATCTCCCCCAGCAGCAAATACAAAAGGATTATCCGGATTTGATGTTAGACATAGTAGAGCACCAAGATTACTTTTTTTCTCAAAAATAAGTTCTGGTTCTGTGTTACTAATAATGTCCCATACCTTTATTATACCGTCATTTGCCGACGTAACAAGAAGACCACAACACGACGAGCTAAGAGATAAGCCTAAAATTACAATGTGAAAAATATATTTAGTTTTTAAACTTCAATTAATTTCATTTATATTGTATGTATATTTACCTGTAACTTCTTTTGTATGAGCTTGTATACTCCAGATTGGTTTATCTTCTCTTATATCAATATAGTGTATGTATCCATTGTCGGTACTTGCCTAAATGGGTACAAATAGGTATAAATTTCGATATATATTTTAATTATAAAAAATTAATATATTGAATATACTCACTATTAAATAATTAGAATCAAAACGATTCCATAACACCCTCTCTATTTCTCCTGCTGCTTCCCAATATTTCATAAGTGATTCGTATCTACAGTCAAATAATCTCACGATCCTGGGTATAAAATTAAATATAAATATTCAAAATATAATTGGAGAACATTTTAAATTAAATAAAAATGAGTAAACATACTTATCTGCACATCCTGTTAATAACTGATGTGTTTCTGTTGGATGCCATTGTAATGATTGAACTTTTTCATCAAAAGAATCAAATTTATTGACAGGTGTTCCATTTTCTAAATCCCACAAAAGAACTGTTTGATCAGCTGATCCACTAGCAAGTACATGTCTAAAAAAATTCACGGTATTGAGTTTTAAAAATAATTGTAAAATTCTGATTCGGTACATGGTAATACTAACACATAATTTTCATTCCATGCCAAATCTAATACAGCATCTTTGTGTCCAACACGTTTTTGATTTTTTTTCTTATTTGCCTTGCGACCAAGTTTATAAGCTGGTTCTAAACAGTCTATTAAATCCAAATCCCATACATCTATTATAGGAGTCATATTACCAATTGCACATAAATTACCTACAACAAAATAAACCCATTAGTATTTGAAATATAATTATGTAAGCATTATTTCTACTTACTTGGTTTTGAATCTGTGGGATCAAAATTGAGCCATTCCATACACAGTGGGAACGATGGTAACAGTATGTCATGATGACAATAAAATGAACCTTCAGCTTCATTATAAACTGCAAAGTATATAATATATATATATAAAATATTTGCAAATAAAAGTATAGGTTTTATCATTAAAAGAATTAGAACTTAGTTAAAAATTATACCAACCAAATACTTCTAAAATACTAGCATCTCCATCAACATGTCCAACTAATACAAGATTGTCATCACTTTTTATAGCATCATCTTCCTTTTCTGAATCATCATCATCCCCTGTCACAAAGGGATCTTGACCATCTTCTCCGAAACTTGCAATATTTTTAATATTACAATGTATATTACTTGCTATATACAAAGACAAATACCTTAAGAAAAAGTTTTACTGCTAGTATTAATATGATATATCAAATTGTTTATCATACATTCTTCATCATATTTGTCAAAGTTATATTCATCAGTTTCGCATGTATCAAGTTCAGATTTTGTGTCCATTTTTTGTTCCACAACATTGTCCTGTTCTTCATCACTTTCAGCATCTCTGCAAAAAAGTAAAAAATATTTATTTAGTTATAAAAAACCTTCTTTATTAACTAATCACAAATCGGCAAAATACTTACTGTAATTCGGACTGTGTTTGTTTTATAATCTGTTCTAATTCTTTAGGTGTCAGTTCAACCTAAGAGATTCAGAAAAAAATTTTAATACATAAGATTAAACGAGTTTCCACCTTAAATATTATAAAAATTGCATTCTTGATATTGAGATCAATGAAGAACTAAAATTTAACTAAAATCTTGACATATTATTTATTAACCTTCTGAGGATTCGTAGACGCAACACCTCTTCTCACCCAAGTTGCACACGGTATTACATTCATTTTCTGATTATATATTTACATTAATATTTATAATACAAATATGTACAATTTTTTATAAAAATGCTAAGTATTAAATTAACTACAGAAATGCACGTGGATCATGTATCATGTATGTCACATTGCACGTGGTACAAATTTGATTCGATAGATCGATGTTACTATCGAAATAGACGGAACTCTTCGGAAAAATGTAGTAGCGGAGAAGATGCGAAGCGCAGAGTAGAGCAGTAGCGACACTCTCTGTCGACACTACAGAGTAAGCCAGAGGATGAAAATTTAAATCAAGCAAATCTACTTTTGTGTCAACCTCTGATAATTTGGAATAAATGGTAATAAATTTTTTGTATATTACTAATATTGTCTTTTGAGGTATCTTCATCAATTTTACGGCGTTGAAAAGTTGAAAAAGAATATACCAAAATGATTACTCTACCAAACATATTTTAAGAATATATGTTACGGAAATGATTATTATCAATAAGTTCTAAGAAAACGAAAAACTATATATCTCAAGAAATTACAGATGAATATGTTACAGAGATATAACAAATTATTAAATTTTAAACTATTCTTAAACTATTCTTTTTCGGCCGCCATATTTCGATACTACGCGCATGCGTACATCCGTTTGATTTGGCGGTTAAATTAGTTGCATCCTTTGTTTCTTTTCAGGAGGTGGTTTCTTTGCGTAGTGTCGTCTTTTTTTCATCCATATTCTTCAGTAAGGTAATTAATTACAAAATTAAAGCATTTTCAAAGCCTCTTTTTTACATTTTCCTTGAAGTTTATATTTATACGCGCTCTTTCTTTAAATTTCTCGGAAAATCGTACTTATCGACTATTCCGGAACTATTAACGTATACCGACGTCCATATTGGACTTTATACCACGATTGCAACCGTGGATAAGGAAGAATCTCATAATTATATTAGAATTATTATAAGATATCAGAATTATTATCAGATTTGTAAATCTTCTTCACTAGATTTGAATAAATATAGAACTTATAATGTATATTTATTTAATTCATGTGCGTTTCATGCACGATTCTTGGAAGTCCGAATGGTGCATATAACGAATGTAATTCTCCAAGTCCATTGTAAAAACCTTTCTCTAACTTTGATGCATCCGCATAATAATTTTCAAGTGCCAACAAATAGTTGAAACGCTTTATTTCATAAGAAATCGCAATTTTTTATTTCTATAGTTTCTCTCTGTACTCCTAGGTAGCGCTGATGACACTGTTTTCATAAAACGCGGGTAAAAGTATAAAATTTTTAGATACATCTAAGAATAAGGATTCCAAAATGCTTTGAACATATTAAATTCATTATTTTGCAATAATATATTTTATTTTTAAACATAGACACGTATTTACAGTAATTTCCTTATTTATCGATTTCGAATATATCTTTCTGTAAAATATACCAATACTGATGATATTGTCGGGTGTCAGGGTCTTATTTCTGTAGCTGCCATTTTGTCAACAAGAAGCCAGATTTTTAGTTGGGAATCCGGAGTTCTTTAAAGTAAACTCGAAATAAGTAGGAAAAAACGTCAGGAAAATGTCAGTCAAGATTCATTTGGTAGTATATTTCAATTTATCGATAAAATGTTTTGTGCGTTAAAACTACATCAAAAATGTTTCCCTCTTGTTCAATTATTTGCATTAAATCACCTGACATCATATCCGACTGTTCTTCAAAGAATTATTTGTTCACTGAATACGAGAAATTCACGTCGAAAACAATATTTTCAACACTCTCACCCCTGTCGAGCTTTAACAAAGTATAATTTGTAACATTCACATATGTAGATGTAAATTGCGATCGGGTCGCTTGCGAATTTTAATCCGTCGACAAACGAGTTATATTTTATACTTCTTATCCGCCATTCAAATATCGTGCAAATGAAATTGTACCGTAAAAAATTATTCAACATTCGTGCGATGTTTGCGGGAAGATTTTCCAATGAAATGGATCCTTTCTCGAATCGCAAATTGTAAATTCTATTTGTTAATATACATAATCTTTTGCAATAATCTAATAGGCATAAAAAATTCATGATTTTTAAAGATAAATATAATGTTGTTGGTGACAATTGTATAAAAATAATAATAATAGTTTTACACGAATATTTTCAGCGTTTATGGAGGTGATTGATTCTCCCAATATATCTAAAGTGTGTCGATCAAACATTATGCGAACGAAACATAGGCAAGATACATCTGCGACAACGTTCAGCGATTTATAACAAGACAGATGGAAAACTTCTGGAAGGGTAAGACGTCGGAAAAATTCTTCCAGCTTTCGTCGGGCTTTCTGCTCAAGTTCCATCGCGTATAAAGTAATATAATGGGAAATCGAGCGAAAAAATGTCCGTTCAGTTTCTCATGCGTATATTTGATATCGTGAAACATCAATAACATCGAAGTTTTGGCGAAATTCAGTAGCATCGTCAAAACTTCCCCGTACCGCAACCTCTTCTTAATACAATAATTTATATTTATTTTATCCCCTTCATCTCTGCTTCAATACATGTTAAATGAAAGAATATTTTATATTCATATTCTAAATATTATTCAAAGTATTGACAAATAATCAAATAGAATATAAAATATTATTCGAAGAAATAGAACAGATATTCAAACAAATAGAACATTAATAAATAAAGAACAAGTAGAATTTTTATAAATATTTCAGTATTATAAGATTAATACATGTTGAAAAATATTACTGTTGTTATTTTATATTTTTGTTCAGAAAATTTTGAATTTTCCATCTGAGATAGAATTGCAAATAAAATTAATATAACTTGTATTGTTTCCATGGAACTAATATTTGTAGTTAAAAATTTGTGTCCCTTTTTTAAATTAAATTTAAAAAAAATTGAGAGTTATGGTATAAAACGATTTATAGAAATATTAATAAATGAAAATCTGTATGAATTGATGTTGCAAAAGAAAAAAGATAAAATGTGTAGATCACAGTTGTATGTTTAAACAGTTAACATAAAAACGACACTCGAAACGTACATTTAACATTGTTATCTCGTATGTGACAGATTCTACGCCGCAGGAATGTCACCTCAGAGGTGGTACAGGACCGATAAAGGTTGGTATTTTATAGGTCCATCGTTTTCATCGATAACAGCTTGCAATCTTTTCAACATCGATTTAGAAGCTCTATAATATCTGCTACAATTTTATCCCAGGTATGCTGCACACGCATTTTTAAGGATTTTCGCTTGTAGTATTATGTTCTTTTTTTTATTCTGTTATTTACGAATTAATATTGCACTGATGTGCTGAGTAAGATTCGGTAATTTTAAGGTGGATAACACAGACTTGAATTTTTGCTGAAAAATGATAATGTGCTCTTAGATATCTTCACCCTAAAAGTTTGAAAAACTCATTTTTTGGGTATTTTTATGTTAGAATATCTTAGAAACATAATTAAAGCCTGTTTATAACTAATTGGATTTACTAAAATTTATACAAAAAATATATATAGAAAATTACATATAAGGCTTTGCAAAGTAAGATAAAAATAATCATACAGTTTTTATTTTATAAATATTTTACTCTGCTATACTGATTAGTTTAAAAACCCTCATAAATATCGTTCATATATTTTCTCCACGCTGAATACAAAGTCCTTATCAAAATTGTTTCATTGCATCAGTTTTAGAGAAATCGTAATTTAAAGGTAACTGAACCGCTTGTGGCACTTTTAGGTTAGAATGTTTCACAATCCTATTTGCACAGTGGAGTTAATTTGGATTGGATTTGAACATGCCAAAAACTTTTAGGGTGACCTAGTTCTATGCTTGTATTAGATAAATCTTTTGTTAAATAAATCCGTATTAGTTAAAGCTTTATCCAGATAAATGTAAAATAATTATTTTCCAATAATTTGTGTACGATTTAAGTTCTTTATTCTTCATGCAATTCGAATGTTATTTACTGTTTACACAATTCGTCTCTGTAGCAATGATGTTTTCTTTTTCCACGCGATAGAATTTATCTGTGAAACAAATAAGAAAAAACGTGCATGCATTCCTGTTTGCACAGGTCGACATTACGAACCCATAGCTCGAATTCGCTTTTATCTGTTGAGATTTCCTGGGCTACGTGATTTGCCTGCTAACGGCGATTCATGTACGAAACATCTGCACGTGTTTTCACACGTTTAAGACCATGTGCACCTCACAATATTCTACTTTGTCTGATCACCAGATTGCCGGTGTTCATGTAACTGAACATTTAATGCATAACAACTAATTTCTGAATTACTTTAACCCGGTTTACAGCAAATAAAAGGAGTTTTCTAACTATAATATTTTACAGATAAGGGAAATAATATTATTAGACATAGTAGAATGTGCTTATTTGAAAATAGATATTTTTTTATAGATATATGCAGATTTTTGCATAAGATATTGACCAATCTTGGTTTTTTTTAAGATTCTATGTGAATCAGTTTTTAAGTGTAATATTGAATATTTGCTATAAAATTATTACATAATGAAAATTACAGTTTGTCTGATGTCTACTGTATTGACCATGATGTATAGTTATACAAAATGATTTTTCTTATAATTTCGTATAATTTTCCTATTATTATATTGTTTATTTCAGAGTCCCTCAATTTAAAAAAAAAAGTTATATTGTCTCATACAAAAATTGGTAATTTTAAAAATACAAGCGTATTAAGTGAAATCTGTTATGCTTGTGAACAAGCATTTTAACCGGAGACCAATTGAATACAATTGAACAATTTTAACAAGAGACCAACCGCTAAAATGTTAAATGAAATGCTCGTAGTTTCAACGTTTTATGGTATTAATCAACATATCGTTTTATTTTTCACTTTTAATTAAGCGGAGAAATAATTGATCGCTATGGATGTGGTCGGTAATGGATTTAACCTTCGTATACTTTTAAACAAAATATTTTATCTTATAAAGATTCATATTCGGAGCTACAGAAGTTATTTGAATATTATCTGAAAATATAACTACCATAATTAATTATATTAATACTCTGATAGATTCTCGTTATTATAGTTAATTGAGTTATTGTTGAAAGTGCAAATATTCTGATAAATTATTATAATAAATGTTTGAACATTTCTGGATATTGTAC